GCACGCGAACGCGTGGCCAGCCGCGGTGAGCCCATGCGCGCATGTGTGAGCGCACGCGCGGGTGAATGCAGGCACCCGCAGGTGAGCACGCGCACACGCGGGTGAGCCCAGCTCGACGTGGGTGAAGACGGACGCACGTGTGGGCGAGCGCACGCACCGATGTGGGGACACGCACGCCTGTGTGAGCACACGCGTGCCAGTAAGCACGGGGATGCGTGGGTGAGCCCGTGCACACGTGCGTGTCTGTGCCCCACGGTTAGTTTGAGCCCCGCTCGCCCCTCTGCGGTGGCTCTTAGGTGGCGTCGTGGCTGCCAGGTGCGCTCACGGACCTCGGTGTCCCAGGGCTGGCGGGGGGAGGCACCACCGCGCTGCTGGGGATGCTGGCCCTCAGCGCCTGGGCTGGATGTGGCCACACTAGCCCTCATGGGACACATTTGGGCCCGGGGCGGGGGAACCGTGGGGATCCCTGCATGGGACCCTAGAGGGAGCTGCGGTCCAGCAGGCTTGTGGCCTAGGACCTGCAGGCCCAGAACTCAAGGTGCAGGTAGAGGTGGGAGAAGCTTTGGGAGCTTCTCACCCTCGTGTTTGTCTCCCTGTTGCCATGAACTCTCCACTTGACCGACCTCCATCTCCTCCTCACGCCCGGTCTTGAGGGCATCAGGAGCTGGCGGGGTGGTGGCGGGGTACAACAGGGTAGTGATGCTTCAGTGAGGGCCAGCACCCCTACCAAAAATGTGGAGACCCCCAAACTCTCCAACCAGGACCAAATCCCCTCCCCTGCCCAGCTTATTGCCGCCTACCTAGCAGAGCGACACAGGAGGCAGGGCCATGGCCTCGGGAGCCCCAGCGGTCTTGCCCTGAGCTGTGCATGGGCAGATCAGGAAGGGCCTGCAGTTTGGGAGGACGCTGGACACTCTTGTCCGGGCCTGTCTGGTTTCCAGCATGGAGGGGTTCTGTAGCACCCATGGGTGAAGGGCAGGTCCCAGGGAGGCCCGTGACACGCCATGCCAGCCCTGGACCCGCTGGCACCGCTTTGCTCACCTGGGGAGGGTGGAGCGAGGGTGCGGAGCCGTAGCTGGCTCTGGCCAAGGGCGAGGGGGGG